CAACAACAACAACAACAACAACAACAACAACAACAACAACAACAACACAAACACAACATGTTGTTGTTGTTGTTGTTGTTGTTGTTGTTGTTGTTGTAGTATCATGTTGTATATAAAGACCAGCACCTTGGGCCTGCGACCAGACAGCGCCTGATCTGTGTTCGAGGTCCCAGATCTGTGATCCCAGTGAGTCAACGGACGAGCAGACTTGTGAGAGACCACCCTGCCCAGAGGCGAGGAAAGACATCGCAAAAGACGACCCTGCGATGGAGTGGGGAAGTCTTTTTGGAGGGCACCATGATTTGATTCACTTACGGTCTTGAAGCACTGGAGATATACCGACCATTGGAAAGACCTCAGCTTGATTGGAAAGATGCCATGCCTTGGACATCCTTGGTCCTTGGAAGAGGTAGCCAATAGTTCCCCAAAGACAGACACCCCTGGAGCACACCATGGGCTCCAAGCGGCTAACCTTCACGAATAGATCTTACGCTCCCCAAATGGCACCGAACCCGACCTTCCAGGACCGTCCGTTTTCCTCTCCACCGCCTTTGAGGGTCCATAGTTCGTTTAGGTTGCATAGTCCATGTTGAATTGTTTTGAGCCCCGACATATGATGAAAGACCTCTTTTTGGAGATATACTGACCAGTGACCCGAACAAATCATCTCTGAATCCTGTGACCAAACCACCGATCTCAAGTTGGGTCACGACCGGAAGAAGCAGGATATTCCAAATTTCTTCAGGAATTCTTCGTTCAACAGTAGGGTAGGGTCTCATTTTCGGCCACCCTGGTCTCGCAAAATGCTTCTTAAGACGCACCAAACTCTGGCAGGGTCATCTGGATGGAAGTTTGAAGGAACATCCAAAAAACGCGTAGCCTGAAAACAGCACTGAAGGTCTGAAGGTCGGCGTTTTTTGTTCCTTCACCCTTTTTGGTACATGTAGACCTAACCTCCAGTAAATCGACGATCGATGGTTTCACGGCTCCGATCGAGTCAGTTTCACCCCTTCGATCAGTCTCTTTGCATTCTCGCCCGTGGCGGTCAGATGGTCTTGGGAGCATTTACAGTGGTTTCAGAGTATAGATAGCGCATTCCCTAAATGGTGGTTAGATGGACCCCCATGAACAGTGCCATCTACTCTCAATCCACTGAACCTCTTTGGCCTGGAAGGCTTGTCCTTCCGATCCCTCTGCTACAGGATTGCGGTGTCTCCGACTGGAGCGATTGGAGTTGTGCCGCCTGCGCCAGCCGTGCCACGCGGAACCGGTGCGGTGTCCGGTGATGAATCGGTTCCGTGAAAACTGCCCGACTTGGAAGCTAGGGATTCTTGAGACCTGAGACTACCCCGACCTCAGAGGATTCGGGTCTGACCTCTCCATATGAGGGTCCATGAGCGTCTGGGAGATGTATAGGATGCCCAAGAGTTGGTTTGCTGTAGAGTCGCTGTGTGGTGAAGATTGCTCAAAGTTGACTGTTCAGACTGGCAGAGGGATGCAAGCTTTTGGAAGGGAAACGCAAACACTCCTCTAGTTCTGGGAAGCCAAGCAAATACCTTGTTTCATTGCCCGCCATTGCCTGTACTTTTCAGCTATGGCCTATTACGTCCCTTCAGCCCTGCGGTCTGTTGATGAACATCCATTCTGTAGTACATATATAGTTGGGCCAGGCTTTTCTCGCCAAGCGTTTTGTCGTTTGCTCCCATCATCCTTTTACTATGTTTTTCTGACCCACTCTAAGAGCAACGGTTTCTTTCAACTGACGGCGCTCCTAGCCGCACACATCCAGCCTCTCCTGCCTCCAACATGCTCCAACATCGGAATCTGCAGGATCACCAAGTGCACACGTCCTTGGGTGGAGCGCTTATACCTGCGCGCGCGCGCGGACCGGACGGAAAGTGCAGGTCCCTTCTCTCGGAGGCACAGCATGGCGGCCGTTGCGGGGAGCTGGAGCAACGAGGCCGGAGGTGAAGCCAATGCACTTTGAAAGTGATGACGCAGGCTACGGCAGGCTTATAGCTTTAAAGGTTTGGGGATAGCTATGCATCACTGGCCGGTGCCTAGTAGAGAATGGGGGAATGGATTCTAAGGTTATATACCTACAGTGTTGGGTCACCCACCCTCATTCCCTGCTTTCGTCGCACCAGTCAGATCACTAGGAATGGACACTCATCAGACTCCTCCCACCAATTTCAACATGAGGAGAGAGAAGATGGGGGTCGGAGGGAGAAGATGCTGACTGCTTCCCATGGATCCATCGTGATCCATCACCATCGATCCCCGCGGCGCAGCTGCGCGGTGGAGGCCATGCTTGTGATCCCAGTAGCTGCCCTGTGGACTGTGTCTACAACACCTGGTCCCAGTGGAGCAACTGCCCAGTGACCTGTCACTTGGTGCAAGAAGAGAGGACTGGGTGTGTAGCGACCTCATAGGGAGACCTCCCAGGCAACGACCCGCCTGGAAGGAGGAACATAGACCAGTCTACCCAGCCAGGGCCACGGTGTCTCCCTAGCTTAGATGTAGCTACACACCCACTTGTAACTCGTAATCCGGATTGCACTGAGGCGTGTGCAGGGAACCCAATAGCGTCCTTGCTCCGTTCGTAGTAAGGCCAGGGTCGCCCCGTTCGTAGTGGCCTTGTTCCGTTCGAGTCGCGATGCCCGCAATGCTCCGTTCGTAGCGTCCTTGCTCCGTTCATAGTAAGGCCAGGGTCGCCCCGAACGTAGCTTCTTGTTCCTAGTAGCGATGCCAGGAGCCCCGAACGTAGCGTCCTCTCACAATGTCACCATGGTGTCACCATGGCGCCAACGCGTCGTTCTCGAGACGTCACGGTGTTCGCACGGGACGTCACGGTCTGCCGACTGGTCCTTCCGAAGTCGACTCTCAGACGGTCGTTGAGACCCTCAGACGGTCGGTTTCAGCCCGGTGACCTCATTCCGGAAGGACTGATATCATTCGTCCCAGGGCAGATCATGTGGGAACTCTTTGGTTCCGGTGTTTGGTGGGGGGGGGTGTGGAGGTCCGTCTTTGGCACGTTGAACCTGCCACAGGCTGAGGCTGATTGACCGCCCATCTTTGCCCCACCCAACCCACCTTATAGGCCCAGCGCCTGGCATTTAGGGAAGTTTAAGACCCTAGGATTCGATCCGTCTTTACCAAAGAATCATTAATTGTTTTACTCCCACCAAGTCAACCATTCTTTTCTTGGTCTTGGAAGGCTAGGGTAAAAGGCCTTTTGCCCAATTTGCTACACGTGTTTGTGCAACGGTCGTGCGTTTCGGTCGTACCTGCATGTATTAACATTTCCAGCGTCGTACCGGCAGCGTGACCAGATTGCGCCCCAAGATAGCAACCATATGGTAGTTCCCTTCTGTCTCCTTCGGTTCCCTCCGATCTGCTTTGGGCCTCCCTGTTTTGGGCAAGAGGGTCAAATGCCACCTGCCAGAAAGAGAGGGAGAAAAGGAGAGCCGGAGAAAAGGACAGAAGGGGAGAGAAATCAATGACAAGAAATGAAGAAGATGAAGAAGCGACAAAAACGATATTTTAAGAACGCCGCGGGTTCGGAGCGAACAGAAAGACAGAAGAGACAGCTGGTCAAGAGAGTCGACGATGAAGCATGAGCATAAGACAAGGAGAAACCAAAAGGGCAAGGAAGCAAGGAGGGCAAAGAGATGCAAAGAGCAAGAAAAGATGGAAGGAAAAGACGGAAGGAAGAGGCAGATCGTTGCCCTTCAGTGGTTTTGGGGTTGTGCTATGTGCCTGCACGTTTTCGAAGTTAGCAGTGATGGAGGCACACGCGGCACGAGCCCCGTGCAGCAGAGCAAGAAAGAACATGACATACAGGGCGCGAGTAGGCCTAGTACGCTTGTGGGACTTAGACCAATCTCAAGAGAAACACAAACGAAAGTTCCAGCGATTGTATTTCAAAGAGAGAAAAAAGGGAGAACATCATATAAGCAATCATTAAAGTTTATACTGTTCTTCCTTATCACTGGAAGCCCATGATGTCATCGTCATCGTGCGCTTTCGTGAGCCACGCCGAGGCTCCGGCGGCGTGCGGACGCGCAACCGCATGGTGAAGGACGAAATGAGGCGCGGTGGGCGTGTAGCCGACAGGTCAGACCTTCGAGTCGTCACGGTCAGAGACCGAGACCGACAGGTCAGAGACCGAAGGTTGGTGTTGGTTTGATTCAGTTTGAGGCGCTTGGAGCAAACGGGTTTGGATTGGTGTTGGAGTCTGAATGGCTAGACCTGAAAGGACACATCGACACACATTTCAGGTGTCTGGTGCTAACCTGAGCCAACCTGTGTCCCACATCCGTGGCTGCTTGCATCCATGGTTCTGGTTGTGATGTTCGCTTCAACGAAGAACTTAATATAAGTTCTATATAGGGTGTAGCCCATTACCAGTAACCGTCGGTAAAGACATATCACGATGTTTAAGAAAGGTCTTTACTAACCAAAGCGGAACATCCACTGTGACTGGTAATGGGATACACCCAATGACTTAAGTCATTTTCCTGTAGGTCGAGGTCGTGATGCGTCCGGGTCCATTGGGTGGTTGGTCGCCGTACCTCGAAAGGTACGGTGGAAAGCCATGCGATGGCTCCAACTTTCAAAAGGAGGCCGTAGACGCGACGTCTCCGACGGAGATTTGAACGAAGGACGGATGACCTGGATGTTTGGCTATATGAAAGTAATTGAACATACATAGGGTGGAGATGTTGACTGACCTCAGGTCCATTTGAGGGTGATTTGGTATATTTCTCAAATGTTTTAGCGGCAAATTCGCACCAGTTTCATGTTGGGTCCCTCGATGGTTTATTTGCAGGATGCTTTTACATCCTTAGAATATCTGCCCTTGGGGGGTGAACGGTCCAAAAGCAGTTGCATGAAAGAATTGATGGACATATTTAGTCATAGTACCCAGACGCTCTGGACCCACATATTATGGAGGGGTCGGACCCCCATATGGAGGGGTTTGGGGTCTCAAATCCCTAAGCTTTGAGGGACCAGTCGGGCTGTTTGGAGCGTTTGGGTATGAAATATTATCGGGAAGCTGGTGCACAAGCTTGTTCCCACCTGTCAGGATAGTCTATCAAAATGTCAATATGTCGTTCCTTCAAAATCAAATCTCAGGGCGGAGAACACCCGAGGTTGTTTTGTACGAGTTGTTTTGCTTCAAATCCTCCCATTCGAGGTTTGATGCACCTGTGGATCCAAACATATCGCCAACTTAGGAATGACCCCCGGGCAGACGAGCAAGGAGAATTGACTCGTGGTTTCGACCATTTTTCGAAGACCAACCCAGTGGTTTTATCGGGTCCATGTGGTCGGGTCGTTGAAAGTCTGGACCCGAACGCGGAAACCACGAGAGGGGACCACCATGAACACCATGACGTATGGCCCGATGAACCGTTGCTGCCGGAACAGACGGCATCGACGAGTGACGACTGTTCACCGAAACGGCTTTCTGATCCCCCGACCCCCCCGATCCGAAGAAACGGGAGAGGCACTGAGCGACCACAGCACTGAGCATCGTCCTCGAAACTCGGGCCAGATGTTCCTTTTGAGAGGCACTGAGCATCTCCCTACCCAGGAAGTGCATGGATAACCTTTACCCTATTACCCTAGCCTTTCAAGACCCTTTACAAAAAATGGTTGACCTGGCTTTAAGTCAGGTAAAATCCTTGGTCCTCACATGCTTGTTCGGTAAAGGCAAAGGCATCGCGGCGCCACCGGTGGGTTCGTTGGTTCGGTGGAAAGCGACGGATTTGGTGTTTTGGATCCAGACCATCCTGTCTCATCTGGATCTGCCATCCAGGGCTGAGCTGCTGGGAGTTCGAGCTGGAAAAATGCAGGTCTCTTTAATTTAAAAGACCTGGTTCTTTTCCAGGTTCTCTTTCAATATGTTTTTTTTTTTCAGGTTCTTTTCACAGACCTTGGCATCCCCCCATTTGGTGCCAACAAGGGGCTGCCATGGGTTGGCTACGCTTGGGTACGGGGTACCCTTACAGTGACCATGGATTGGGGATACTCCAAATCCCCCTGTTCGCTGTGGCGAAAAACATCTCCCGAAACCGCCACAGCGAACAGTCCGCCCAAAACAGCAGTAGCCCACCTCCAAACCATCCTCTCCGCCTGGAACAAGCAACATCCTCCAGCCCGAAACGCTCTCGAGCTAGGCGTGCAATGCTCAGAAGTGTCCCGTGGATTGTGCCTGGGACGACTGGGGCGACTTCGGCCCTTGCAGTGACAGTTGCGGTGGAGGCGGGCGAGGGAGAAAGCGAAAGCGAGGCGAGGGAGAAGGGCCTGAAGGCCATGGTGCGTACAGTACTTCAGCTGTGTTCCTATATTCTTGCTACTAGTAGCTTCTTGTTAGTAGCGATGGCCTCCACCTAATAGCTTCTTACCACAGCGATTCATCATTTCCCTCACTGGGGGACTTGCCCCACACGAGGCCAACAGCTGCGGAGACGCGGCACACGTCCAGCCCAGTGGGGTGGCCGTGCCTGTGAGGGTGAGGAGAAGGAGACGGCCACTGAGTCGCATGGGGGGGAGAGCGATTTGACCCGGGCGGGGCGGTTTTTGAGAAAATGCGGATGCGCCAAGATCTGCGGATTTTGGGGCGCTTGGCGACTACAAGTTATTAGAGCTGGCGAGCGGCTCGCTCGGCGAGCGACGGCGAGCGAGAAGCGCGAGGTGGCGTCCATTTCTTCGCCATGAAAGATCTGAGACGCGTTTTTCGCGACGCCACCGGTTTAGGGACGTAAATGAAACATCCAAAACCAGAAATCAAAGAACTGTTCTGAACTATATGGTCTTTGTGTGACATACCCATTGCAAGATATTCAAGGTTACCCCAAAGCGAGCTCAAAGAAATTGTCTCCTTGCCCCTGTCAGAGTCTGGTTTCAATCCAATGAGCTCCTGTTCTTGGGGCTACACGTTTTTCAACCATAAACTCATAGCAGCCATAACATCTCATCACTGTTCTTCCACAAGCGACTTGCAACACATCGGAGCGAAGCTTCGACACCCTTGCGACGTTTACCTCCGACCTTTTTCGACTCAGCGACTTGGGGTTGAACAACGTCATTTTCCACCATCCAACAAGAAGCTATGCAGCTGTAGAAGGTCCAGGTATGTCCAGGTTTTGGGAAACCATGTTGGGTGAAGCAACACCAGAGACATCCAGATGCGTAGTTGCACGGATTGGATTTGGGCACTGCAGTGACACGGGTTCAACTAGCTTGATGCCTGAAAGATCAGGCTATACCGGGTATCTTTTCGCTTTCGGTGCCCAGCCGACGCCGTCCGCTTCAGCCGCCTGGTCGCCTAACAGGTTGCTTGTGCCTTGATGCTTTGCCCAGTGGATTGTCAGTGGAGCGACTGGCAAACGTGGAGCGACTGTTCTAAGCCGATCCTCGGCGGCGTTTGGGGGATGGGTCGCGCCAGGTCCTGGGACCTACCACTGGTTGAATCAGCAATGAAGCTCGGGGGGCACTAGAGGATACGGCCAACGCAACGGATCCAGTGTATTCTAAGGTCTTCCCAATCGGATCCAGGTATGGTCCTGGCAGAAAAGCCTATCATCCACGTTGTGGCTCATGGGTCAAAACATGTCAAGAACCAAACATTCACAGCACCCTGGTATACGGTATACTTGACCTCAGGCATTTGGATGGCACTATGTAGAAGCTCTTCCAAAGACACACTCCCTCCACTTCAGCCCACCCGCGCTGCTCTCCGCAGGTGCGGCGGCGGTCTGAAGCTGCGGCGCCGCGGCATCGCGGTGCAGGGCGGCTACGGGGGCGAGGTGTGCGCGCCGGACGCCGCGCAGGCACGGCGGGGAGAGCCCGACCGAAATCGGTGGTTGCGACCCTGTTAACACCGGAGCCCCGTTCGTAGGGATGCCAGGAGCCCCTAATAGTTTGTTACTAGTAGCGATGCCCTTGTTAATCTTGTTACTAGTAGCTTCTTGCTCCTACGTGTTGACGGTTGCGAATGCGATGCCAAGAAGACGCAAACTGGGAGTGGGGTTCGGAGTCCAATGACGAATGACTTCATTGGCGTATGACCAGCCCGCATCGAACATCACAGCCGTAGGCTTCCTACTGGTAGCACCCAACATGAATCAAAATTATCAACATTTTACAGTATGCGTTTGGGTTTGACGTTTAGCTTGTAAATAAGGGTGCATCAGCCCAATGAAGGAGCAGCTTCAGATAGAGAGGTCAAGAGAGAAATCAGTCTTCTATCCATTTCTGCGATCTATACCACCCAGATGTGCCATCACAGAAGGTAATTTCACCATCATATCAATGTGATATCATGAACAAAAGGAGCAAAACCTTACAAAAGAACAACTTTCACAACCCTATCAATGTCATATCATTTGCAAAAAGGAAAAACTTTACAAAATCACAACTTTCAAAACCCCCACCCCCATGACTACCTGCTCTCTTAATTTTATTGCATCTTTATATTGTTCCTCCTATGCTATATTTTCTACAATATACATGAATCCCTTAAAAAAGCGCACGCTCACAGTGGCCAGCTCTCTTCTTTTTCTCATCACCTTCCAAGGGCATCAGTGGTCTGGGAATCCAAACTTGAATAGACATGGAGACGAGCCCCCCAGTTTTCAGAAGGCGGTTTGTGTGTGTGTGATTCAATCAACTCAGTTGTCTCAACCTGAAGAAATTCCACCCATTCCTTGCGTGGACTCGCCATCCAAGGAGGCCATCGATTGCAATGTCTTGAACTGCTCCGCGGATTGCGTCTGGGGTACGTGGAGTGACTGGAGCAGCTGCGGCACAAGCTGTGGCGGCGGCCTCTTGGAAACATCAGTTCAGGGAATTGTCGCCACAGAGGGAAAAGTAGGTGGAAAGCGTCACTGCTGGATCGTGTATACCCTTTGAGATGGTGTAATCATTTTGAAGTAGGGCGTCATCTAGCAAACTCAGTTGCAAATTGTGCTAGCTGCTAGCATGTGTCAAAACTTTTTCGAAGCAGGGATAATGTGGCTATAGAAGATGTTAGAATCCTTGGGCAAACCAACTGAAAAAAGAAAACATCGCATTGCGCATTGGGTTTGATTCTACTTCGGCTCTGCTTGGTCAGCTTGAATTTCGGCCATGGGGCCTTGTAGACTTGAACCATCTAACTTGAACAGCAGAACCTGTGCAGCAAATAGATCGATGGAATTAACAGTTTTAATCAGTTTTAATATGTTTTAATTGTAACTTATAATTGTATCAAACTTGAGTTATTACTTAATTAGCAGAAATTGTACCTTATTTGTTCCATGCAGATAAGATCGTGTGCACATACTCGCACGGCGTTTTCTTCTTTGGCTTGTCCTGATGCTGCTTCAGTGTTTCTTCCAGCTTGGGTTTGGTCTCGTCTATGAGCAGTTTGGTGTGTAAAAAATCAGACAAGCACACAAACAGTAGTCCAGACGGGGAAAATCACGCAGGGCGGCACACCCTCTGCTGTTTTGATATGATGTTCAACGAAATCTCCTTCATACAGTAGCTAAAGGCGCAGTCCAATATAGTTACAGGGTCGTTCACGTGGGCTACGAACGGACACCTGCACAAGTCCGGGCTTTTCCAGCCCTGAAAGAGACAACTAGGCTCTGTGCTTGGGCGATGTTTGCAGACGTCCTACAGTCCTAGATGATGTACACCAACCCAGTTAGCGAACGTATGTAAACCAGCTAAGAACCTGGTATATATCGTGTCCGGAGCTAGGCTCCGTTTTCCTTACACCACCACCAGCTGAGCTTACGTGTCTTCGATTCGAAACTTCGGACCTTCTCAGCTGTTCCCAGGTCTTCAGATCCGCAGCCGGCAACAGATCAGCGAAGCCATCGGTGAAGGCTCTCCATGTGGCGGGACACCTCAGGATGCTCGGTGAAGGCTCGGGCGTGGTGCGGAGCTGCGGAGCACGGTGCTACGCGGTCATTTCACATGAGTCCGGCGTAGTAGCGTTCTTTGCTCCGTTCATAGTAAGGCCAGGAGCCCCGATCGTAGCGTCCGATCGTTCCGTTCGGGTCGCGATGCCCTTTTTTCCGTTCGTAGCGTTATGACAGGTGCTTGGGCCCACAAGTGATCGCAATATGAGCCAGGCCTTGAGGCTTTGAGTTCAGTGGCCGTTAGAGCATGAGCCGGTGACGACCGCTCATGGTTGGAGCACGATACCCTTACTTGTTTCCATAGTAGTTACTAGTGGCTTGAAGCACAGTTCGACCTCGGAACTTTTCTGATATGGGAGACCTCATAAAACAGGGAGACCTCTCAAGATTTCCTGCAAAATTCGGAACATAGTTCAAACTTGCATGGGATTTCATGAAATTTCGCTAGTAGGTTGGAGGCCATCGCTACTAGTAACAAGAAGCTACTAGTTTGGAATGTTTTAGTTCAAAGTTGTTTCATGGGATTTCATGGGGCCGCAGCCTTTGACCGCTCGGATCTTGGGATTGTGGAGCTATCCTGAAGGCTGTTTGCCCTGATCCGCAGCTCGGTGAGCAGCTTGCCGTTCTTCGCCGTTCTTGGACCCCCCTGCACGCACTAGGTTTACTGATCAAGAAAACACAGAGCAGCACAACGTCGTCGCGGACGTTGTTGCAGCTCTTGGTCTCCATGATTCTTACTAGGAAGATGATGCGTTCGCGTCCTTTTTTGTGGCACTTTTCGGGTTAATGCTGGCTGGAGCCGCATTCCATGGGTGATGTTGGGTCCAGGCAAGTGTCATGGTTCCTCCTCATGTCATTGTTCCACTTCACTTGACTCCATTCTATTAACCAGTTCGAGAAGTTGGGGTTCAAGCTCCCAACGCCACAAAGTTCGTGGTGTTGAATAAATCTGACACGAAGCCAAGGTTCTGAAGATGACCCTCAGCCCACAGATGGCGATGACCATTGACACTGAGAAGCTCTTGTCACTCTCGTCTGGGTCTCTCTGGACATGTTTTATGGTTGAGATACGTCCACGGATGCTGGTGAACACAAATGCTGTTCAGGTGTATGTTGAAAAACGGTTTGATTTTGAGCCTGGAATACATATAAGCTATAAGAATTTATACTGAACTGTTCTCTCATGAAACTTAACAGCAACCAGAAGACTCAAGATCTGAATTCTGAATTACAAGTTACAAGGACAATCGCAAAGCCCGGAGGTCCCAGACGAGTTAAGAGTCACTGATGTCACTCTTCAAGGGCAGATTCCTCTCTTCAAATCCTGCAAACCTTTCGCTCCATTCTCGCTCCATTCTCGCCAGACACTTGACACCGCTCCCGCCATCGGTGAATCTGCAAGAACCAGCGAAGTTTGGAAGGATCAGCAGTCAGGAGGGTGTTTCTTTCGGCGGCCGGTTGTCCATTTGGAACATGTTGGGCTGGGTGTGCGTCGTTAGGCATCGTTTGGCACTTTTGGAATTTTGCAGAAGCAAGTGCAAATTGTAAAAACAAGTTACAAAAAAAGCATGCTCTCGCTACTAGGTCGAAGGCCATTGCTAGTAGGTTGGAGGCCATCGCTACTAGGCTGGAGGCCATTGCTATTAGGTTGGAGGTGGTAGCGCTTGTTTTTATCCTTTGAAGTTGCAGTTCTCAGTGCAGACCCCTGAAGGCATTGAGGAGGTTAAGGGCGTTGGTTTAATGCGCGTACGTGTTCTTTTAGATTGGTTCCTTTTTTTTGCAACAGAAGGCTTCTTGCTCTGTTGAAGCTCATATATGCTCACAGCAAGGTAAATTCACAATCGGCAGCTTTGATGGAGCTACTGATTGGCTATCTAGTCTCCTTTTGCCTTTGCTGTTGCTCTCATTGCTATTGGCTATTGCCCTTTGAATTCTTGCTTCGGCTTTTCTTGTGGCCAAGAACGACTCTTGCGGGACTGATGCTGCGTCCTCACGTGTGAGTAAATGCATCCTTTTGGCTAGTTGTGAGAAAGCTTTGTTTTTGTCTGCATAGGAATATGGTTGGACACGTGGGGACAATAGCTTATGGTAATAACAATAGCTTGTCGTGAGCATGGCCACTACACTGAAACTATCACCTTCAGGGAAGCCTGTTATAGCGTCCAAATTAGGGCACATGGCAACCCGCCAACTTGCAGTGTTCTCTTCATCCGCGCAACAGTGACGGAAAGGTGGTGTGTTGTAAGGGCAAGGTGCATCATCATGTCGATGTGATATACTTTTTGGGTAAGAGGTTAAATTGATAAGATCCCGTCCATCCGCCATACTTCCGCTTCTTTTTATGGGAGTGGTACTTCTCTATTTGCACTTGTTGCTGTAAAGACAATTCATGTCTTGGACAGCCCAAACGCTGGCAACCCGCCGCAGATTTGCGGTGCCCATTCTTGACCCCAGTGATTAAGGACCTGATCTGCCAGGACTTTGGATCCTATCCTGGATAGATAAGTAAATAAGTATTGTTATAGGTCGCCCATCATTGATTCCCTAGCGTTCATGTATAATTCTGGTAACCCTGGCGGTTTCCGGAGTTTTCTTTATGTCAGAAATCCCTCATGACTCCCCGAAATCGCGATCAATTCCGGAGGCGGCTGGGGGAGGTGGACCGGTCCACCGGGACGGACCGGTCGTGCCGTCGCAGGAGGATGGCTCAACTCCTAAGCAGCTTCCAGGCCGGGTGAACACTGCAAGATCCAAGTGCTTTCGTCAAGTAAAAACCTTGAGGTGATGCAAAATGTCATGAACTTTCAGTCACTGAACAAGCTCCACCAAAGGTCTTCTTCTCAAACATCCGTTGCTTCTAGACGAGCTTTTGAGATGCTTTTGACGCGAGACCTGCTTTAGCTTGGTTGGCGGTTTCTTTCACACCATGGGTTTCCCTATTCAAGACAACCCAACCACCTCGTTCACGAATAAACGTGTCAACCAGCAGCTTGTCACGTGTCCTCAGGTGCTTGGGGCACCTTGGCCTCCGGGGACCTGTATGAAAAGTTGTCCAGCTTGGCAGCCCAACAAGGGCCCGAGGCACCGATGGTCGTGGTTTCGTTCGCCACCGGAGGTGGAACGAGGTCGGTCGAGACGGACCGTTTTCAAACGGGTGAGACCGTGAAACTGTTGGGGGATCGTGGTTTGGTGAAACTGCATGGGAGGGAAGATTCGGTGTGGTTTTCAGGAAGCCTTTGGTTTTCAGTCACCGGTGGTTTTGGTGTGTCAGTTTGGGCCGCAGGACATTTGCATGGAGTTTCCCAAGCCGATCTTTGCTGCAGAGGAGGTGGTCAAGGTGCCCAGCATGTTGGTCAGTCGAAGGCCGAAGGCAGTCATTCAGATCCAAGTAGTTATGATTCACAATATATTCTATAATTCTATAGATTAATTATCCATCCAAATCGTGCCCTCCTAGGGCCCAGCCAGGATGCGAAGAGGGCAAATTCACTCAGTTCAGCGAAGTCCTTTTTCGTGCCCAGGTTCCTCTTCAGAGTGTCACGCCGGGCATCCGAGAACTGGACGACGCAACGACGAAACGACCGTTGTGCTGAGTAGTTTTACTGTTTTTTCTATTCTTCGGTATGCATACAGTATCATACAGTCATGCAAGAATCACACTCAGATGATGGATGGCTTCCTTGAGTGAATGCCAAAGACAACAGGGTTTGGGTCTTCGTGCAGGACTTGTGTGCATTTTGACCTGTCTTTTTGATGTTCTTTTTTCCCATTGTGCTTCAGAAGCGTCTGCTTTGAGGGATTTTCGTGTGTCACCTCGTTCTTTAGCGGAACCACCGGAACGCGGATGTCCTGAAACAGAGAAAGGCATCACCTGATGTCGTTTCCCAGGGCGGAGGGTCGCATAAGCGCGGCTGTGAGACTGGATTGATGCAAGGCCCCCGCCAGCACCACATGCTGTCTTGCGGGTCACGCGGGCCTGGGCCTTGGGTGAGGGCCTAGCTGGGACGTCTGAAGCTTGAGAGTCTTGGGCATCTGCTTTTGACATGTTCTTTTTTTTCAAAACTCGCTGACAAGTTTGATGGGATTCCAAGCACCATTATCATTAATAGCTGAACATCCATGAACCACCATGCTTTAGAATGTTTTAGAACCAGAGTTTTTGACGTGGTACTACAACACCACGTCGTTCCCAAACTGGTCTTCCCGCTGAACAGACCGAGGAAGCACGGAGGAATCGACCGGCGGCCGTGATCTCCAAAGGCCCACCGAAACCACCGGGCGGCTGGTGCTCCGAGGTACGTACTGCAACGTGAGGTACGGGTTTAGGCGAAATGAGGGACTGCCGCCACGAGGCCTAGATCATTGGCTCCAATCCCTCTTAAGGTGATGAAATGGATTTTCCCTATGGGTATGATCCCCTTTCTGGGCCCCTGGGCAAGGTGATCATATTTTAAAGCCAGGTTCCTCGACAGCAAATCCAAGAATTCTGGAAATCAGCTCTGACTCGGCAGGACCAGCCCTGACGTGACTCGATGGTTTAACTGATCCTTCGAGGATCAGTTCGATGCTGCGATGCCTTTCACTTCTCTCATCTTAGAGTAGCATTGTTTGGCATGGTCCAGATATTTAGACAGATTCTCCCAAACGCTCTGTGAGTTCACAGCCCAACTGGTCCCGAATCAAACCGATCGGGATTGGTGAGAAACCCCAGACCCTCCAGAGGATTTGGGTCTGACCCCTCCATATGAGGGTCCAGGGCTGCGTCCGGGCTTTAAACTTTAAACATCTTCAAGCTCAACTCCTTTGTTACTAGTAGTTTCTTGCTCCTAGTAGCGATGGCCTCCAACCTACTTGCGATGGCCTCCTAATAGCGTCCTTGCTACTAGCTTCTTGTCATTTCTTGTCTTGTTAGACCAACTCAAAGCAGAACGGTTTCGGTTTTTCGACACGACTCCGGGCGATGCTTCAGGGTGACCGCACTCCACTTGCA